TCGGCAAAATTCTAGGCCTGGCTTTGTGGGCTCAGAGCCTGCCTTCCGGGGTCTTGGGCAGTGTTTTGAAAGCTCCTGGTTCTCTGGGGGCAGCTCTTATCTGCCACTCTACACTCAGCTACCAGTGATTAAGATGGAAACTCAACTGAGCTTGTGACCACCTGGGACCTAGGCGTGGGAAGGGATTTGACACATCTTGGAAGGTTCTTTGCAGTGGATGCCCAGTCCAGCTGCATCTGGAGAGGCAGGAAGCAGGCAGAAAAAGGGGGCAAAGTGTCTCATGGCCAGAGGAGGGCGAGCAGACAGGAGGAACCCTGGTGGCAGTGGGAGTGAGAAGAGCTGGCTCCTGTCACCCACCTCCTCACAGTGAAGGACCTGTGCCATGCAACACCAAATCCTCATCTCCTGCCCTCCCACCACCCACACCTGCTTCTGGAATACTTTCCGCCTAGGAACATGCCTTTCAAGGCACCATCACCCCCTCAACTCCACCCACCCATCCAATCAGTAGCTGCCTCCTTGGGCACACGCTAAATAGTCTACCAGTTCCCTCAGCCTCTGGGCGCCCCTGAGCCCCAGAGTTTGCTAATCACTTATCTTCACTGGCGGCTCTGAGATACAAATGCAGTCTTGGCACTGCGCAAACTAAGACCTTCCTCAGGAGGAAGTCTGACCTTTCTCAGGAGGAAGTCCCACCTTGGCCTGGCAGCCTCCGCTCACATCCTTGTGTTCACTGGTGGAAACTGCTTTCTGTTTCATCTGCTTGAAATATGAATCTTCTAGTGACTGGCCTGCTCAAGTCCTACCCCTCCTTTCAGGACTCAGCCCAACTGACACCCCGAGCCAGCACTCAGGGCCTGTCACCTCTTTAGGAATTGCTTGTTGAGCATCTGGGGAGTCTGTGGGTGAGACCGTCTCCAGCACAAGCACAATGCGTGGTCTCTGGAGAACTGTGCGGGGGAACCAGTGAATGAAAGAAAAGGAGGGAGACATTTTTAATGAAGACCAGGCAAGATTAGGCAATAGGAGACAGGACAGATGTGAGTCAAAGATTACTCAGATGTTCCTGACTGAGAGGCAGAGATGGATCGTCACTGTCCACTGTGGCGGAGCTGGGCCTGGAGTGAAGAAATGCACCCCCTTCCCCTGCCAGGGAGTCAGGGCCTGACATCTCCAAAGGCAGAGCATAGTGGAGCCAGGGTCCAAGGATGCATAGCTGCTATAGGGCCCTGTCCTTGGGATGTCAACATTTTTAAAAAACAGTATTTTTCTTCTAAATTTGTGCTTGACATGAAGCTGAGGGGGAAGAACTAAGACGTGAAAGTTAAAGTTAAGAAAATTTCATCAAAAGATGGTATTGCTAAGTCAAAAGCAGTAAGACTGAATTTTACAGATATTCTGCGTTGAGACAAGTGGAAAATCAGATGCCCATAAACAAATGTAATTTTTCACATGAAAAAGATCTAAGGATTTCCGTCAACTCCCAGGTTCAGCATGTCACCGGGCCCACAAGGCTGCCAGAACCACCCCAGCCCTCTTGGGCTGCACCAGTAAACTCACATTAACTGAACCCCATAAATAAGAAATGGGGAACATGGAAAGGTTTTTGTGTCCTGCTCGGTTTCAATGGGAAGCACCCCACCAGTGGAGATAGCGTCCTGAAACATGCGATGGAAAGTGATCAGAACAAGTAGGAAGCCAAAGAGAGTTACTTGGGTTCAGCTGAAGTGCTAGCCTCCCCCTCTTCTGCCCCACAGTGAGACCAGTGAGAAGGGCCTGAGCTGCTGGAACCCATTCCCTATGAATTCATCACACCCAGCTTGATGGGTATAAAAAAAGTAAAGATCTCTGGGACTGTTAAATAAA